GAGCTTTGCCTTTGGGTCCCGTAGGGAGGTTCTTTCCGAAGCCCCCACCCTAGGAATGGCCGGAGCCGGAGCGGGGCGGGGGGGCGCTGCCGTCCGTGCCCTGCGTTACTCCGGGATGCTCCGTGGGGCTCCTCGCGGCCCTGATCCCAGCGGGGGCAGAAGGGGTCAAACGAGCGGGGGGGGCCGGGGGGGGGGGGGCCGGGGGGGCGGCCGGAACCCTCGTGGGAGAACAGAGCGGCACTGTGCGAGGATGGGGACACGGGGACACAGGGATGGGGACACGGGGACAGGGGGATGGGGACGGGAATGAGGACGGAGATGGGACGCAGGTAGCACAGCGCTGGCGCCGGGTGTGCCAGGGGTGCAGCAACACGTGGAACCCGTGCGGCGTCCCGGCGCTGTTTGCTCAGGGACCGTGGCACGGGGGGCACCGACGCGCAGCCCCTCTGATGCGGGATCCCTCGTGGCTCCACCCCCTCCCCGTTGGGACGCAGCAGCGCCATCGCCTCTGTCTGCATCGAGACCCCCTCGGTCAGCCCCTCGTGCCGTGTCTGCAGCCAGCGCCACCCCTGGTGTCCCGGTACCCCTCCGAGGTGCGGCCACGGGGAGGACAAACAAACCCGACGCGCTGCGCTCGCTCCGTGCCCCGTGCCCGCGCCGGGGGTCTCACGTGGGGACCCTTGCAGTGGATGCTGCCTCAGTGACGCCTTTCCCTGTGGCAACGATGTGCTCATGGCCACGAGCCTTTCCACAGCGCTCCCCCACAGCCCTGACTCAGCCACGGCCTTTCCTGCGATGGGACGGGGATGGGGATGGCACGATTCCATGACGGCCACGGGACACAGCAGAGCCCTGTGGTCACCCCTGTCCTGAGCGGCCCCTCCAGCCCCACACAGTGCTGCTCCCCAGCCCCACTGCTGCTCTCCAGCCCCATCCCAGCCTCGTGCTCCTCTTCCTATGGCACCTGCAGCCCTACACAGGGCTCGGCACCGTGGGGCACAGCACCAACCCCGTGGGCAGGAAGCCCAGGAAGAGGAAGAGTGACTTCCCCATGTAAGAGGGCCTCATGCACCCCACGGTCTCTCTGGGGACCCCCCCACCCACCCCACAGCTGCACTACGCCTGGCTCACCGACCTCATCAGCCCCACCAGCCCCTCAGCAGAGCGGGCACAGAGCAGTGCTATGGCACAGCGTGGGGCTCTGCAGCTCTGTCCTGTGGCAGCCCAGGTCCCTGTGCACACTGCCCAGGGCAGCCTGTGCTGCATAGGATGATGGAACCGTGGAGAGGAAAAGCCCTGAGATCCAACTCTTGGAAAGGGGAGATGGCAGCAGGACAAGGGGAAATGGTTGGAAGTTGAGGGAGGGCAGCTGGAGGTTGGATGTCAGGGGGAAGTTGTTTAGAGAGAGAGTGGTGAGGTGCTGGAACAGCTGCCCAGAGAGGCTGTGATGCCCCGTCCATCCCTGGAGGTGTTGGAGGCCAGGTTGGATGGGGCCCTGGGCAGCCTGGGCTGCTGTGAGATGGGGAGGTTGGTGGCCCTGCATTGGTGGGGGGTTGGAGCTTCGTGATCCTTGAGCTCCCTTCCAACCCAACCATTCTGTGATGCTGTGATCCCCCCCCCACTGCCCACATCCCCACATCTCTGAGCCCTGTGCCCCCCACGACCCTCAGCACAACTCCAAGCTCCCAGGCTGCCCAAGGAGGCTGTGGATGCCCCATCCATCCCTGCAGGCATTGGAGGCCAGGCTGGATGTGGCTCTGGGCAGCCTGGGCTGCTGGTTGGCGACCTGCACACAGCAGGGCTTGGAGCTGGATGAGCGCTGTGCTCCTTTGCAACCCAGGCCATTCTATCTCTCTGTGATCCTACGATCCCACACCACTCCCCATCCGATCACCAGGGGCTGCAGGCGGTGGCGCTTTGCCCCCCAGCCCTGCCCTGACCTCATCCTCCCCTGCAGGCTGCTGAGGCAGACGGCGCAGCGATGCAGAGCATCAAATGCGTGGTGGTGGGCGACGGCGCCGTGGGGAAGACGTGCCTGCTCATCTGCTACACCACCAACGCCTTCCCCAAGGAATACATCCCCACCGTCTTCGACAACTACAGCGCTCAGAACACGGTGGACGGGCGGACTATAAACCTCAACCTGTGGGACACAGCCGGGCAGGAGGAATACGACCGCCTGCGGACGCTCTCCTACCCCCAGACCAACGTCTTCATCATCTGTTTCTCCATCGCCAGCCCTCCCTCCTACGAGAACGTCAAGCACAAGTGGTACCCCGAGGTTTGCCACCACTGCCCCAGCGTGCCCGTGTTGCTGGTGGGCACCAAGAAGGACCTGCGCACGAACCCCGACACCATGCGCCGGCTCAAGGAGCAGAACCAGGCGCCCATCAGCACCCAGCAGGGTCTCAGTTTGTGCAGGCAGATCCGCGCCGTCAAATATTTGGAATGCTCAGCACTGCAGCAGGAGGGCATTAAGGAGGTGTTCACCGAGGCGGTGCGCGCCGTGCTCAACCCCGCGCCGGCCAAAGCCAAGCGGCCCTGCGTGCTGCTGTAGGGCGGCGTGGGGCCGCCGTGCCCACGGACACCAGCGGCTCAATGTGGGGCTGCAGCCGAAACCCCGCTGCTCTGCTCTGGGATCAGCCTGCAGGCTGCGCTCGGCCCCATGCCACCCTGCCCGGCCCCACCGCCCCCAGCCTCCGAGCGGCCGCAGCCCCACAGCCCCGGTCCTGAGAAGCCCCGGCTCCGAGCGCCCCCAGCTTTGAGCATCCTCTGCTGAGCGCCCCCAGCTCTGAGCATCCCCACCCAAACATCCCTGCTGCTCGGCACCCCCAGCTCTGAACACCTCTGGCACTGAGCAGCCCAGCATTGCCGCGCAGCAGCTCTGAGCGCCCCCCATGCTGAGCGTCTCCCACTCCGCACGTCCCAGCTCTGAGCACCCCTGGCTCCGTCAGTCTCTGGCTCTGAACACCTCTGGCTCTGAGCACTGCTGGCACTCAGCATCTCTGGCTTTGAGCCTCCTCAGCTCTGAGCATCCCTGAGCTCTCTGCCTCCCATGGAGTGCAGCACGGCCAAACTCGGCCAGCCCCAAGCTGTGAGCTTCAGTGCTACAGAGCCCAACTGCACTACCTGCCTGCTGGCCTGGGGCCAGCTGGGCTCCCTCCTGTTCCCTTCATCACCATCCCCTCCCCTCCCCTCCCCATCCCCTCCAATCCCATCCCATCCCATCCCATCCCCTCCCCTCCCCTCCCCTCCCCTCCCGTCCCCTCCCATCCCCTCCCCTCCCATCCCATCCCATCCCATCCCATCCCATCCCATCCCATCCCATCCCATCCCATCCCATCCCATCCCATCCCATTCCCATCCCATCCCATCCCATCCCCATCCCATCCCATCCCATCCCATCCCATCCCCATCGCCATCGCCATCCCCTCCCCTCCCCTCCCATCCCCATCCCCATCCCATCCCCATCCCATCTCCATCCCATCCCATCCCATCCCACCCCCGTTGGCTGTCAGTGATCACTTTTTGGGTGACCCCTCTCCAGCTCTGGCACAGAGCAACACTTCCTGAGACAGGGCTGCCCCATGGGGCCGAATCTCCCGGCTCCTGCCTGAGCTCCCCCAGCCCCTTGGGGACCCACTGCTACCACCACTGTGCCCAGTGCCCTGTGGGGACCCCCAGCCCCTTGGGGACCCACTGCCACCCCCCTCACCCCCCGCTGTCCCCCCTCAAAGTGCTGCAGAGTGGTTTGTCCCATAGGACCCCCGTGGCACCAGGCTCCCCCCACCCAGTTCTCCTTGTGCTGCTTTCAATAAAGAAACCCCCCCCCCCCCCCCCTCCGGCCCTGTGCCTTCTGTGCTTTGCTGTCTGCTCCCATCCCTGGAGCTGCTGCTGGGACACGAGTGCCAGCTCTGTGTCCTGGGGTCCCTGGGATGGGGGGATGGGAAATGGGGGGATGGGAACCCAGCTGGCACTGCACCCCTGGGTGACACTGGGGCAGCACCAAGTGCTCTGTGGGGACTTGGGAGGGGGGGTGGGGGAGTGGGGGGCATCGCAGGGATGGGGACAGTGGAGGAGATGAGCACGGAGGGACGCCGTGGGGACGGGGACACTGCAGGGATGACTGCTGCGGTCTGCAGGAGGGTCTCCTCCCCACAATTCCCTTTCACCACAGCTCGTGCTCTGCCCCTCCTGGCAGCCCCATGGATGCCCGCATTGCAGCCCCATCACAGCCCACCCGGGACGTGGGGGGGTACGGAGGATCCGGGCGCTGCAGCCCCCCACAAACGGGTCGGAGTCAGCCGTGCACAGGAGCCCCTTGTGCGGCCCCGCAGCCGGACGCAGCCCCACACAAACGGCTTTTGTTCCCCGCAGCCGTCCGCGGGGGGGCCCAGGGGGTGGTGTGGGCGGTGGTACCAAGGGGCAGCGCTGCCCCGTCCCCATCCCGTCCCCATTCCGTGGCCGTGCCAAGGGCGCACGGCCGTGACGCAGCGCTCCGGCAGCCGGCGGGGACGGATGGAGGGGGGGGGGGGAAGGGGGTTGGACAAGGCGAGGACGGCGCCCTGCCCTGGGATGAGCTCACGGCTTCCTCTTCCCCGCGCTATGAGGTCAGGGGGTGTGGGCAGCACCGGGGGAGCCCCGATGTCCCACGGCCACCCCAGAGGCATCTGCAGCTGCGTTGGCTCCCAGGGGCCAGGTGGAGAGCGCAGCCATCAGCTCTCATCCACCCCAAAGCCGGATCCACCTCCTGCATCCGGCCCCGACCCCACAACCGCCTCGGGGTCCTGCAGGGAATGGGTGCCGCCCATCCGTGGTCACCGTGTCACCCCGCTGCCCCGCTCCAGCAACTCAGCGCTGCACCCATGGGACCCCAAACGGTGGCAGCATTGACAGCTCCAGGCGCTGCAGCCCGGGGGGGGGGGGGGGGGGGGGGGGGGCAGAGACCCCACGGGGGGGGGAGGAGAAGGGCAGCGAAGGGCACTGAGACTGCAGAGAGCTCCCAAAAATCCTCAGTGCTTTATTTCGTCCTCCAAAGCCAGGAGAAGGCGCTGCAGGGAGGGGCTGTGCGCCCCACCTGGGTGGGAGATGGGGGTACAAATGGATGGGGACATGGGACCCCCAGCCCAGCACTGCACCCAGCCCTGCAGCAAAGTGCCCACGGTCCCAGAGCTGTGGGGCAGGGTTAGGCCACCTTTGGACCACAGATTCTTTCTGGGGATTTGGATGAAGGGTCCCCCATAAATCCCATCAGCCTGGGGGTGAAAGCAGCACGCAGAAAACGGGCCCAACACCACAAGCAGCAACTGCTCTGCCCAACCCACTGCAAAGAGGCAGCGATCGCCAGCCCTCGCGTCCCTGGTGCCTGAGCAGCACACAGAGCTCTGATGAGCACTGGAGCGCAGTCAGGAGGAGTGAATCCCATTCCTGGTCCCAGCATGGGGGGCAACTGCAGCCCCCGGCCCACGCTACGGGGCAGCACAAACCGGGGGAGCGCTCAGTTAGAAATGCTTGTCCTCCAGCATCGAGCTCACCACCAGCTCCTTGTTGCCGAAGTCCCAGAAGGCCGTCATGTGGAAGGCCATGTTGGAGAAGACCACCACGTACTCCAGGAAAGCGAAGATGGTGTACACTGTTGGAAGGAAGCACAGCGGGTCAGAGGGCAGCGCCGGGGCCCCGCTGCTGCCCCACACCCAGCTGCTCCCCTGTTTACCTCCAGGTCTGCAGTACCAGTTGTGGTGGAAATAGACACAGACGGCAATGGAGAAGGTGATGAAGGTGATGAAGAAGAGCAGCTGTTTCCACTTGTAGGATTTGCGCTCCTGGGAGAGAATAACGAGGGCACGGCTCAGCTCTCAGCCCGTCCCGATGGGGGCTGCGCCCCCCAACCCCAGCCCCACGGCGATGGGGCCCAGAGCCCCCGGCCTGGGTGGGTGTGGGGAACCCACAGTGCAGGAGCACAGCGGGGATGGGGGGATGGCACCCATGAACCCAACCAGGCTGCCATGCCTGTGTCTGAGTGGGAGGGGAACTTCCCCCTCTGTCTGTCGGTTCACGTGAGGCAAACCTCTCCATTTTCAGGGACTGCTGAGAGTTAGGAAAATGTAAATGGCCCCATCACACTTTCCATGACCCCACTGGCACACACACACACACACACACACACACACACAGGCTGTGGTGCAGAGGAAAACCCAGAGAGGAAGGGCGGACCCACGGTTTCGTGGGGCACCTGGGGCTGGGGGAGCTCAGCCCCACACATCCGCACCCCATGGGCTGCCAGCACTGCTCCTGCCTCACTGCTGCCCTGCAGCACCACAGCCCCGCTCTGCTGCCACAGTGCAATGCACCACACCATGCAGCACCGTGCTGCACCGCAATGCACGACTCAGGGCTGTGCTGTGCAGCACCACGTGGCACTGCAGCACTGCACCACGTAACACTGTGCTGCACCACACCATGCAGCGCCGTGCTGCACTGCAACGCACCACAACCCACGGCGCTGTGCTGCATGGCACCACACGGCCCTACCCTGCACCACTGCATGGCAGCACGCAGCACCGCACCGTGCAGCACCACACCGCTTTGCTGCACTGCATCACAGCACTGCATGCTGCTGGCTCACCCTCTCCAGCTGTGCAGCTGCTGCTTGCAGTGCTTGAGGCACAGCCCGATGGGGTTGCAGCACACGGGGCTGCAGCACCTCGTGAGCCATTTGCATCTACCACCCATCCTCAGCCCAAAGGTTCGCCCAGGTTTTGCTGCAGGGAACGCAGCCCCGGGGCTGCAGTGGGGCTCCAGGCCCCGTCCCTCTGCTCTCACACCACCCCACAGTGCAGTGTTCGGATGTGGGTCCGACCGCAGCACGTTATATTTGACCATGCAGTGTGTTGGCTTTGTGCTGCAGCACGTTTCCCCGTGCACATGGAGCTGAGTCAGTAGCAGAAGCTGGGGGAGAAGGAAGCAGAGCTGCAGCTGCACGGCGCTGCGTGGGGCTGTGCCAAACCCCAACCCTGCCCCGCGGTGCCGTGGGACCCCCATGTGGGCTCAGAGTCCCCACAGAGCTGCAATGGGGCCACGCCACAGCTCAGCCCCGCTGCTCTGCCTTGGGCTTTTCAGAGCTACGTGTTGCTCTGCTGGCCTTCCTGTGCTGAGTGCTGCAGTATCTGCAGAGCAATGGGGGGGGGGACCCCCAGCACACACTGCTGGTGCACCCACCCCAGAGCCAGGCTCGGTGCTTGCACTGCTGATAACCGTGAATGGAGCTGAGCTCAGCTACAGCACCCTGACAGCAAAGGGCTCGAGCCCTCAGGAAGGAGCAGGAGCAGCTTCCCAGGGGCCGCAGCCCCACAGCTATGGGGTGAGCAGTGCAGCTTGGCTGCAGTGACAGCAGCTGCACGGAGATGTTTGCGAATGAGAAGTGAAACCAGCAGCCGTGCTGTGCTGTGCCCTGCAGTGGGCTGGGAGGCTGGGTGCAGGGCTGTGCCCCACGCCATGCCCCATGCACAGTGCTCAGCACGCAGCCGGGGCTCTCCAACTCCATTACCCCTTCCTTCTCACCGCTGTTTCCCCCTCCCCTCCTGCCCCAAACCCCCTTTCCCTTCCCCCAACATCCACAAGGCTTCATTTTCCCTTTGCTCCCCATTTGCCACCTTGCAAGTGGAAACCATCTGCACTTCCCCATCGCGAGTTCCCCAGCACCTTCCTGCCCTCGCAGCGGGGCTGTTGCAACCCCGGCCCCGGTGAACGTCAGGCTTTTGCAAGACCAATTCCTGTCACACACACACGCTCTGCTGAAAGCCACGGCCTGGGAGCGGATGCCCTCCCACAGCAGAGCCCTCCTGCAGCACCGCAGCTCGGCGGCCCGGAGGCAGACAGCACAGGTGATCAGATTGCCGGGGTTATCACAGGGTTGTAGGAAATCCCGAGCTGGCACAGACCCACGGGGGTCACTGAGCCCATCCCTGGCCCCACGCAGCCCCCCCAGAGCCTGGCCCTATAGCAGAGTGCTGTCCTGCACCCCCCGAGCTCAGGGCTCTGCCCGCCACCCCAACCCCAGCTGAGCCTCCTGGCCCCACGCTGCTCCCTCGGCTCCAAGCCGTGGCACGATGGCTGTGCTGTGCCTTCTGTCCTGAAGGATGGCTGCGAGAAACAGCACCGAAAGCTCTGCTGAAACCCAAAAAGACAGCATCAGCTGGTTTCCCTGCCGTCCAGCCGCTTGACCTCGTCGCAAGTTCCCCAAACAGGACCTTCCCCTCACAGGATCACAGCCACGAAGGCTGGCAAAGCCCTGCAAGGTCCCTGAGCCCACCGCACTGCCCACAGCCCTCAGTGCCACGGCGCTGAACGCCCCCAGGGATGGTGACCCCCAGCAGCCCACGCTGGAGCTGCAGGAAGGATTGCTCCTGACAGCACAGCGCCACGCTGCCGGTGACCCCCATGCTTCAAGTGTTACCCAAGAACTCCCAGCCCTTCCGGAGAACTGGAAGGAGTGAAGTTTCCCACCCATCGCAGGAGCTCTCATGATGATGCACGACGGCCACGCGGCGCAATGGCTGTTCTCAGCCTCAGCTTCCCACACCAGAGACCTTCCCCGAAAATAACCCCCGAGATGCTCAGCAGCTCTCAGCAACTTCCCCTGCTCAGCAGCGGGTTGGGGAGGACGCAGCACACAGCACACAGCACACAGCACAGCACACAGCACACAGCACACAGCACA